GTAGAAAACACATTTTGTACCAACATTTGTAATGTACTCAAAACTTTATTTGATACACACACAATGAACTTTAATGTAATGTAATAAAGAAAAACCCTTTCAGAAGGAAAGGAAAGAAAAAATAAAGAAGGAAAGGAAAGAAAAAATAAAAAGTCATAAAAAGTCATGTTAAATAAAAAAATATATATTACTTCAAGGTGAATATAAAAACAAGGATAAACCACTTCAACTAAAAGTTGATCTCAATAAAAAAAACAGCCTTCACTGTCCATACAACATAATAATAGAGGGAAGATCAGTCCAGTTAAGATTCTTAAAATAACATTTCCCCAAAATTAGAACTTGTAGTGTCAAAATACATAATTTCTAAAGACAACTTGAAGGTTATAGTATACAAGAGATCAGGAGGCAATGACAAAAAAAAAAACAGCAAGAATGCTTGGCAGCATACTGTGAGAAAGCACAAACAGGAGTACTAGAATTCAACGTAACTGCAGGGATCAGGAAGATCTGATAGTGGACTAAAGAGAGCCCAGAGAATATTTATATATACATGGAGGAGTGAATAATGAGTCACAACAGGTGTGCTGATTACTAATGGAAAACAGGTGGAAAATGAAGTATAKAAACATGGGAAAGTGAGGGATATGGCAAAGAATTATAACAACATAATTCAACAAAATATTCAGAAATGCCTAGATACACAAACTTGTTCAAGAAAAGTAAACTAAACTGAGAGTAAGTCAATACAAACCAAAAAACTAAGACAAGGACAAGAAAGAATAAAGTCTATGAACAAGTAACCAATAAAGGCATGATAAAACAGTTTCTAAAAAATATTTATTTATTTATTTTTCTACAAGTAAATTTGTTTTACAGTAATAAAATTAAGAGGAAGTGAAACACTAAAGTTTAAACAAAGTTGTGCAAGTTAGCCCTCAGATTATGCGAGGATCAATCTCAGCTACTACTACACCAAATTTTAGCTCAATATTTTTAGAACCGGCTAACTTATAGTCATTTTTTGTGTTATTTACCAATATTTAACCAGTCAAATCCCATTGAGATTGCAGGTCTCTTTTGCAAGGTCAGCCTGGTTCTTAAGTAGCCAATCCATTGCCTTCATACACAATTCCGCTTGATTCTAATCTCCCTGCACCATCTGAGTCTTCTACCATTTACATGGATTTTCCAGTAGAATTTCAACCGGGCCAATCAGTGAGCAGAAGGAGGAGTTGACATTACTTTTTTGTGCTGTTTTAGTCTGCCTGTAGTGTAGAAAAGGCAGCAGGAGAAGTGACTGAAGTCATTCAGTTTGTCAAGGCTTCCAAATGAAACTAAATTTGTCTCGCAAAGCCTACAGAACTCATTTACAGCCATCTCCTTCAGCTCGGTACTTCTCTTTTTCCAGTAGGGGATGGATGTTTACAGCGTACGCAGTTTCCGTTTAGCTTCTTGGCATATAGCTTCCTTCACAGTTGAGTTGACGCACTACATACTGTACATCACAGCCAAATGCTAGTGATTGGGTAAGATCAGATCCAACTGTTTTAAACTTCAGCAGAGTCCACACCACCAGCAAGAAATCATTTCTCAATAGCTGAGGGTCCAGACGCTCTGTACAAAGCAAAGTGTAGAACAAGGGGCTGGTTTTTACCAGGCTAGGCTGGTTGAAGGCAATGGGGGGCATACATATTTTTGTGCTGCGGGGGAAACTGGAATACCCAGAGAACCCACTTTAGCACAAGAAGAACATACAAACTTTGCACAGAAAGACCCCAGGACTGAACCCAGGACCTTCCTGCTGTGAGGCGTCAATGCTAACTGTTAAGCTGTTGTGTTGCCTGTGTTTGCTAATTAGCTGTGGCAGCCATCTTGAATTGGATTGACTAACTCAGTCGTAGATGCACAGCCAATGATAATTTTATGCAGGTTTGATTAAAATTTGTCCATTGTTTCATAAAACACTTTGCCAACAGACCAAAAAAAAAACACACACCAATACACTCAAAGATAACTGAATGATTGCCCACCTTTCATGGCAGGGAGTGGATGATCTTCTCCAGAACAGAGTTTGACATTGCCACTTATTGAGCTTACAAAACTATCCGGAAGGCTGTCCAGAGAACCTGTGGGTAGAAATGAAACGCATTTCTGGTGTAAAAGAGTTTTCATTTTGTGTTTCATCTATCATCATCATCTAAATGATGCTTGTTTTCTTTTCATTTGTATTTTTTGTTGTTTTTAGGGCTCAAAAGTCTCCTTGATTATCAACTGTTCCACAAGCCTGTCCACCGTGTGTCTCCTGATCCTCATCGTAGCATTCCATTACAAGGACATCAGGGTGAGTTTGCTTGTTGTTGAATAAACTACTTTTTTGTTTGGCTTTTTTTGTACTAAATGAGCTCGGTTAGAGGCTTGCTTTTGTTTGAGATACTTCATGGCGATTGTTGTAAAAGGAGCTCTTGGTCCACTGGTGATAGCCTCAACCTTGTTTACCTGGCATCTACAGTATTTGCTGTTTGAGTAAAAAGACTCTGGAGGCAAACCTCAGCCCACACATACAAGCCCAATACTCCAGCTGTGATGTTGTTCCAGTCCACATGGCTCCTTGCCGTAGTGTGTGAGGTCAATAGACACAAAGGGATTTGGCTGACGTTAGGCAGGGTAAACATTGTTTTTATTTACCCTCAAACACTCACAGCGAGTGGTTAACATCAGCACGGACAACAAGTGTTTCAAACTGCTTCAGGACTGAGTCTCTAACAAATCTGTCCGGCTGCTGGGTTTGTGGTCCCACTGACTGGTTTCATCTCCTGAATCTGATAAAAGAGGAGTCTCCTCCAAGTGTGTGGAGGAGATAAGGAGGGGCGGGTTTAAGGTGGAGTCACTAAGCCACTAACCAACCATGATGCCTCCCTTAGTTTAATTATTAGGTTTTAAGTTGATATGGAAAAATTAGTCAAAAATGTGATAATAAATCTATTGCATATAGAAATAAATAAAAACAAAACATCGGTGAAACCAGTGAGAGTGAGTCTGTTTAAGAGAAAAAGCTAAATAGCATAAAAAAGTCAAGTTAAAGGTAGTGTAACCATTTAAGCAGAGAAAGAAATCAAGAGATTAGAAATCACAATTTAAAAAGTAAATATTTCGAACACACAAAAAATGAGGAAAAACCCCTAAAACAAACTTCAAATGAAACCAAGAAATCAATCCTAACATGCCAGTTATGCTGTCTTTATTCTGTCATAGCATTGTGGAGGGTCTAAATTGAATTTGAGCAAAACAAAAAGTGAGACAATTGTTTGCAAACGTAACTCTTTGAGTCGAAAGCACATCTTTAACGTTAGCTCTAATTTCTAAGCTTTGAAGCCTGTTTTCTGACTTTATTTTCGTAAATTACGGTAGCGCGTCATTGTTTTTTATGGTTTTATAAAAACGTGCAAGCGTGTGTCTTCAGAAGAAAAAAGTCATTGCTCAGCAAACTGGCTTTAATTCGACGATGCCTCCTCATTTTTCCACTAACAAGATTCTTGTGCTACTTTGTAAAACAGCAGCTAAAGTCAAAAACTGAAAAAAATGCATAACCTTAACAATACATTGCCTGTCAACAAAAGTTACAATAGCTCAAGTACTCTGGAAAAAAAAGTTTGATCATAGATTCAAATGAGTTAATTCAGAGGGGAAACTACAAAGGTAAAAATATAAATTGCAGGCCATAATCACATTGAAATTATCCAACAAGCACAGAGAGTGAAACTCGTATCAGGTACTTCCTGCTGGCCTTTGCCAAGCATTTTGAAACAATGACTAAGGGTGGATTTATATTCCATCACATGTAAATATCTGTTCTTTCTGACATGGCTGTGAGATGTTCTTTATCACCAGGAGAAACTATCGAGAGGCCTCATGGTGAGTCCTTCCACTGCAGCAGCACATCACAAACAGAAACAACACAGGGGTAGCATAGTTGGCAAGGTGGATGTTCATTTTCAGCTGATGAAGGAGGAGTTGAAAGAAGGAAAAGTTCCTATTTGAGAATTTGTCACGGTGAAACAGCCAACATTTCTGTGCAGGAATGTATCTCTATATTGCCAAAAGTATTTGCTCACTGCCTTATGAGCTTAAGTGACATCCCGTTCCTAATCTAAAGGGTTCAAGATGACGTCGGTTGACCTTTTGCAGCTAGAACAGCTTCAACTCTTCTGAGAAGGCCGTCCACAAGGTTTAGGAGTTCATGGGGATTTTTGACCGTACTTCCAGAAGCACATTTGTGAGTTCACATACTGATGTTGGACAGAAGGCCTGGCTCTCAGTCTCCACTCTAATTCATCCCAAAGGTGTTYTATCAGGTTGAGGTCAGGACTCTGTGCAGCCAGTCCAGTTCATCCACTCCAGACTCTGCCATCCATGTCTTTATAGACCTTGCTTTGTGCACTGGTGCACAGTCATTTGGAATGGGTGAGCAATAACTTTTGGCAATATAGTGTATCTCTATACTGCTTGTCTGAGGCGCAGTCCCTTCTGGATAGCATGGTCACAGAGAGCTCCTGTAYCTCTGTGGCCAAATATTGACCATCCACTTCCACAAGTTTTTATCAGATTTGACTATCTTTGTAAATTTTGCTGGAACAGCTCTAAAGATAACTGTATTTTCTAACAGCCTCAGCCAGCTGCTCTACAACGGTGCAGCGCACTGCAGCCACTTTGCCCTTACATGTCRGGTCAAATAGATTGTCCATAAATTACACAGATTTTCCCCCATTTTGCAGGTATGAGGGTCAAGAAGCAGTTAAACATTGAAGGGGTTAATATGTATGTTTGCCTCAGACATCATGCAACCACGACGACATGAAGGAATTTTGTCAGGTCTGATGAAGTATAAATCCATCGTAAAGGCGTTGGCAGAAAAACAGTTTTTGTGTTTTGCAAACAGTGCTGCTTCARTTTTTGCTGTGATAGTGAGGAAGGTTTCGGTACATCCAAGAGGAAACACCAGGGTTAGCTCTAACTGAGGGGTGCACTAAAGATTTGTGTTGCCACAGCTCAACATCTTCAGTATGTGGGGTGAGGGGCTAAGACTTTTGAACCACGGTCTAGTAACAAGAAGSGCAGCAAGCTTCTGTCTGAGAAAACCATCAAAGATGGACTGAAATTCTACAGGAAGTTCAAACTCCAGACAGCATAAAACTGGTGAAAATTTATTTTCTCTGATGAATTATCCTTTTGATTGTTTGGGACATCTGCAGAATATTTGTCAAGAAAAGTTTTATGTCATGTCAGGAGCAAAGTCTCCTGGATTTATCCATATGCGGGGTTTTATTTGATTTGATTTATTTATTTAACAGGAAAAGATTATTAAAAATCAAGCCTGACTCAGCATAATTGCTGTTTTACAGCAGGTTCCTGTTCTGCAGCACATTAAACACTCAGAATTACAGCATCACAATCACATCATTATACACCATAGACACAAAGACAAACAAGCATACCAAATTTCAAAAAGGCAGCATTTGCAAAATCGGACGTCTAAATATGAGCACAACAAAAAGTGTCCAGCAGATGGCAGACAAGATTCTTCTTAAAGAGCTGTAGTTTTGAAATGGACTTTATAATCTGAGGAATGTCATTCCAYGCTTTAGTATAAACATAGAAGAAAGACCTCTGGCCGTAACAGTTTTTAAAAGTTGGTAATATCAGTTGTCCTTTTGTAACAGATCTAGTTGAATGACCACTTCCAGAGTTTGATTTGGGCAACAATGCACAGAGAGTTCCATAATTGGCACCTTGGGAGATCTGAAAATATAAATTAATACCACTATACAAAACATAATTCTGAAAAGTCAAGGCATCAGACAATGAAAGAACTGTACAGTGATG